TAATTATGTTTTTTCCTATATTAATCCACAAGAGTTTTTTCAAGCAATCCATAAGAATGAATTTCCTCTCTATAATAATAATATTAATTATTATTATTATTGACTGTCGGAAGAAATGCCGACAACGTCATTGTCATGTGGGGTTTCAACCGTGGTAGTGGAAACGGGTTCCTTGATGATGGACGGTGGATCATCATCATCGGAAAGGGGTATCTCGATGGGAGAAATCGGAGGGTGCTAGGGCTGGGTCGACTCGGAATTGGGGATGGAAAATTTTGTTCATAAAATTTGACGTCTCGACTCACAAAGATGTTGTTGGTGTTTAAGTAAAGCAAACGCCAACCTTTTTGTCCAAATGGATAACCAAGGAACAAACATCGTTGTGAGTGACTAGAAAACTTGTCACCATGATGATTTTGATTATGAGCGTAGGTGAGACACCCGAGGGTACGAATATGAGCATTAGAGGGAGGCATCGTATGGGGTTTGATTGTGGAGTAATTGAGTAGGAGTTTGGTTGATTAAATAGCCGGCAGTAAGAACGCAGTCACCCCAAAATTTAATGGGTAAATTTTCCTGGAAGCGTAAGGCACGCGCCACATTGAGTATGCGACGGTGTTTACGTTCAACTCTTCCGTTTTGTTGGGGGAGTTCAAACTCAAGAGGACTCGAAAAGTATTCCTTGTGACTAAAAAGAGGTTTCATGCAAGTGCAGTTCCATTATCAGTGCAAATTGTTTTGACTCTTTTTTCAAACCGGGGTTCTACCATGGCAAAAATATTATGGAGAACAAAGGGGGTTTCATCTTTATTATTTAACAAGTACACCCAAACAACCCGAGAAATATCATTTATAATTGTGAGAAAGTATCTTGCCCCAGTTCTAGTTGTCGTTCTATATGCACCCTATAAATCACAATGGATTTAGGAAAAGAGAACTGTAACGCCCCAAAAATAGGCCTATCAGAGTTAATTAATTTATAATTAATTAATTACTGAGAAGGACCCAAAAATAAGTAAATTCTAAAGTTTGTCAATAAATAATGAAAATCATATCATTATGTAGAGTTTGACTGTCTGATCCCAACGGTTCAATCGGATTTCAATTTGGAGAAAGTTGGAACAAAAAGTGCACCCCAACTGGGACCAAAATTAGTCCCAATCAGGGACTACACACCAAACGGCGCCCTGTTCAATTACGCCGATTCCAAATCGTCGCTCAATCACGGAAGCTACAAACCTGTGTCTTCTTCTTCTCCACTGGCCTATTTAAGCACAACTCAACTCCCTCAATTATTCACCAAAAACATTCATTCTTCCTCCTATATTGTTCCTTGCTGAGAGTAGAGTGCAGTGGTGCTGTCATCTTTGTGTGAGGTCGCCGGAGCAGTGAGATAGAGTCGCCGGAAGGTTCGCCGGAAAATCTTCAAAACCTCCCCTACGCTTCAAGGTAAGCCCGTAGATATATCTAAAGATTAGAATGTTCATATAGGTTGTTTTTACGTTCATAAATGGTCATTTGGTTGAGTTTTGTGTTTGACATGTTTGAAGAACCAAGAATCATAAACCTTGAATTTGATGTTAAAAATATGTTTTAATAATTCTAAAATGATCTATGAACCTTGGAGAACATTTCTATATAGTTTAATTGAAGTTTGGTAACTAAAATTGATATGTCCGAAAATGGACCGAAGGTAGAAGACGATGAACAGTGATCGAAAATCGATTATTTTCTTCCTAAAAATCGATTAAAACTTGTTCAGATAACGTGTATCAAAATAAAAAAAAAATAATCGATTATATTAAAGTATTAAATCGATTTTTTTGTACTTAATCGATTAAAATATATATTAAAATCGATTTTACAAATTAATCGATTAAAATATATTGAAAAATCAATTTTTCAAATTAATCGATTAAAATATGTTGAAAAATCGATTTTATAAATTTAATGGATTAATATATATTCAAAAATCGATTTTTATATTAATTTATTGAATAAATCGATTTTTCCTCAATTCCAGTGTCCCGAAAATATTCTTAGAAATATTATTTGGAAATACTAATTAATTAAGAACAATTTAAATATGATTTTGTATAATAAATGATGTTTTTGGCATATAAAACATTATGTGATGCATAACGATAAGTTCGGGTGTTAACACCCGAGACTAGGCCGCTGTTTGCTATTAAATATTATGTTGAATGATCATTATGACGAAAAATTATTATGGATAATTATGAATGATAAACCTACTGATTAAAATGATTATTGATGATTAAGTCATGATTAAAAAAAATGAATTAATGGTGATTATGAAAACAGTGTATATTGTTAAAGATATCTAGAAGAACTCTAAAATATACCCACTTGTATATTGATGATGATTGTTAAGGATATCTAGAAGAACTCTAAGATATACCTACTTGACCAATTCCTATTTTGGGTTAAAACGTACGTACGGGATCCAGACCGGATATCACCCACCCGACAAATCATTGTTCGGTTGGTACGTAATCCACATGACCCATAGGGTGGATTATCGATTCTTGTGTTGTGCATTAAACTATTTATAGTTTAAGGGCCTGGTTAGAAATGTTGCCTTAGACTAGGAATAACTAAGAGCTTGTTATAAAATGATTTGGCCTTAGATTAAGAATAATTTAAGAGCATGGTTGAGATATTGAATATCAAATGACTTGGAATAAATATTGAGAATATCATGAATGTTTGAATCATATACTGTGTGCATGATATCAAATGGTTGATTATGAATTGAGATTCAATTTATTTGGATGTTCGACGCTTTAGATATGCTTACTCAGCTTCATCGCTGAGCATGTAGTATGTTTTATTTGATACACGCAGGTAGACAGAATGAGTGAATGGCATGTTCTTGGCAGCGGAAGGGGCGAGACAGTCGTGGTGGATTTATTGAGAAAATAAATGATTATGTTATTATGAATCCTGTTTAAAAATCGCTTCCGCATTAAACACTCCGTATTTACTACAATTATGTTTGGAATTTCATTTATGATGAATAAAGTTATTTGAAATGTTTTAAATTATACGATTACCAAGTTAATACTTTAGTTCGGAAAGGGTTGTAAACCTGGACGGATTAGGGTGTTACAAGAACTTGACTTTTATTAGAATTATTAGGAAAAGAGTCACATCATTGTTTAGAACGTAAACAAACATCACAAGGAATATTGAGAACATGCTTTTTAGAAAGAAGTACTTGGGGTAGAAGTTCTACTACAGTATTAGAGGGGTGTCCTAATCTCTTATGCCAGGTGTCCACATCGTCATCAGCCTCTCTTACGACACACACTTTGTTGGTCACACCTTTCTGGAAATAGTATATGCCCCCTTGGTGCCTACCCATTCCAATCACTATCTTCAAGACTGTGTCCTGCAAAATACAAATCTTGTTAGTAAATTGAACAATTAATCTTTCATTGTTTAGAAGTTGTGAGAAATATATAAGGTTGCAATTGATATCAGGAACGAGCAACACATTTTTCAGAACAAGTGTGTCGCTCAAATGAACAGATTTAATAGAAATCACCCTAAATAAAACTAGAACATAGAAAAAAGTACCAAAATAGGACTTTCATATTTTTTTCCCGAAATAGGACTTTGCACTGTGGTAATATGTGACTTTGCACTGTGGTAATATGACATTGTACATATGCACATTACTATACTTTTTTGGTAATGTATATGGCCATGTTTGGTAATATAAGTCCTATTTTGAGAATAAATACATGGAAGTCCTATTTTAGTATATTTTCAATGTTTTAGTTTTACTTTGGTCTTTCTCCCCAAAACCCCTACTATATACTAAGGGTCAAATTCGTCAGTAGGGTCAAGTATTTAATCCCAAGTAATGAATATATATTAAATATATAAATCCCTATTATATATTAAATACTACCTCCGTCCCGAAGTATTCGTCCAGTTTTACTTTTTCGAGTCAAACTGGATGAACTTTGAGCCTTGATTAAGTAAAAATTACCCGGAGTATAATGTATATTAGTATAAAAATGATTTTAATATATTTAACTTGTTTAGAACTTTTAAAAATGTATTCTATTATATTGATATGTAATACAAATTGAGAGTAATTGATAATTACAGTTTGTCCAGTTTGACTCGAAAAAGCAAACTGAACAAATAGGACGGAAGGAGTAAATCCCTACTAACGAATTTGACCCCTATTAAATTTGTTCCACATAGTATGTGTAGACATCGAATTGGATATGGTTTGACTTCCTTGAACACAGGGTTTAAATTTGCATAAAAGTGCTCCTGGGTACCTTCTATTTTGAGGAACTAACTATCGGGTACCTTATATTTTCAAAATATACTCCGAGGTACCCTCTATTTTGAAAAACTAACTACTGGGTACCTCATATTTTTAAAATATACTCCGGAGTACCTCCAAATACACATTAACTTACCCGTGAGGGACATTCCATCTCACTCTCCGTCAAACCCAGTTTTGCCAGAAAACTGCTCCTGGGTACCTTCTATTTTGAGGAACTAACTACCGGGTACCTCATATTTTCAAAATATACTCCGAGGTACCTTCTATTTTGAAAAACTAACTACCGGGTACCTCATATTTTTAAAATATACTCCGTACTCCAGAGTACCTCCAAATACACATTAACTTACCCGTGAGGGACATTCCATCTCACTCTCCCTCAAACCCAGTTTTGCCATTAATTTTAAGAAATAGGGATTTGGAATTCCAAAAATAACCTTGGTTCTTATACTTTAAGGATACGATCTATTAGTTTAATCGAAGCTTTCGAATGAAACGAAATGTCCCTCACGGGTAAGTTAAGTTAATGTACATTTGGAGGTACCCCGGAGTATATTTTAAAAATGTAAGTTACCCAACAGTTAATTTCTCAAAATATAGGGTACCCTGGAGTATATTTGAAAAATATGAGGTACCTGACAATTAGTTTCTTAAAATAGAGGATACCCAGAAGCAATTTTGTGTTTAAATTTGTTCAACCTAGTATGTGTAGATATCGGATTGGATATGGTTTGACTTCACTCAACACCCAAAACCTATGTTTTTCGATTACTCTCGATCACTTTGACTCGACTTCTGGTGCGACCTTGCTCACCCATAGCGCAGGGCTAGGTCGATTTCTTCCTTGTTTTCACATTTTAAGGTTCCAAATCCCCTTCTTTTTCATTCATACATCATTATCATTGTCTTATTTATTTCGTCGGTAAATTATATCTCAAGAACATTTTCCGATTTTCATTTGGATGTTGCAATTATATCATCGATTCTTTGAACTTTTTAATGTTTGGTTTAACATTTGTGCTTATTCATAATTCTTGAATGAGTGAAATTATGAGTTAGCACCTAGCATCACTTGGATCTATTTTGTTCAAGTGAAACCATTTATCTTTGCCGCTGCACACCAATTCCAACAGTATATGCCATTCACTTTTCTGGCCTATTTATCAAGTTCCTCTTTATGCTTTAGTCAGTCTACCACTCCCTCAGTCCCAGTATTTTCGGGACATGAGGGAGTGACACAAAATTTAAGAAAAGTAGGATTGCATGGTTCAGATGTTAAGAAGTAAGATAAAGTATGATTGATTATGAACCACATATTTGATCAAATGTGGTATTCGACAAAAATGGTATAGCAAACAAAAAAGGCAAAAATGGACAAAATGTGTGGCACAGGAGTACTATTTAGTAATGCTTTACCCCGGATACGGTTTACAAATTTACAATGGAATACTCCGTATAATTGTAAATTTCAATTTTATTTGAGTTGTAATGAGTGGGCTCACATGAGACACTCGTATTTTGAAAAGAGTTTGAGTATGCTTATATATTTTCAGTTCATTTATTTACAATCAGTTTTGAGTACATATCTAACTTTGTGCTTAAACCTTTGTGAATTTCTATTTTCTTTTTGTACCTTAATTCTTTATAAATTTATGTCTATTTTACACTTATTAGTTGTCTGTTATTCCAGCTTATTGCTGTTTCTTGGATTTAAGGCTAAACAATTCATTTCCCCTTCTAGGTTTCATGAAATGGTAGTCACTCTGTATCCGACATTGTTAACTCGATTCGCCTTGCAGTTCCCTCTTTCATTTCCCATTCTTCATAAGAAAACTCAACTTCAAAAACTTTGCCGGAACATCCAATTGGCCCGCAAATGCGGCACGCTCTACTCTAATGCACGACTGCTTTCCACTGCCAACGCTTTGAGCTCCCAAGGTAATTTGTTAAATTAATTGCTCAATTTTTTGTTTTTGTTTTTTGGTTGGGTATTGTCTAACACAACCACTCGTTATTGAGGTAGTGTAGATCCGTAGTTTTTGTGGAGTTGTGGTGTTCCATAAGTAGGTCAATGGTCCTGGTACTTTCAAAAGCTGCGAAATTGTCCCTAAGGTCAAAGAACCGTCACATAAATAGTCCTTCCTTTAGGGAAAATGTGAAGCACACAAAACGCGCACATGTAACATTTTACTACTGTTAAAGAATATCACTATGGAAGACACTAAAAAGATAGATAACATTGTACTACGGTTCAAACTTACACATCACAATTATAAACCTCCAAATCAGCTTTTTTATTGCTACATGCTTTACATTTTTGCATAATACTTGCGTGTTCTGCGTGTTTCACGTTTCCTTAAAGGAAAGGCTAATTATCAATAGTTCTAAAACAAAAAAAATATGCAAGTGTTCTTTCACTAGAGGGACTATTTTGCGACTTTTGAACGTTCGAGGGCTATTTACCCACTTATAGAATAGAAGACCACAAGGACTATTTATGCATACAACTCTTGGTTTTATTAGTTCAATGGTTTGAGTATTTTTTTCCAGAGCCATATAGCTATGGTGAAGTGGGTAATGAGAGATATGATGTCATTGTTGTTGGAGGTGGTCACGCTGGTTGCGAAGCAGCTCTGGCTTCGGCTAGACTGGGGGCAAAAACACTGCTTCTTACACTTAACATTGACCGCATTGCATGGCAGGTTAGTAACTAGATTTGCTTGCTGCTGGTTACTACTTTTTAATGTGAAGAACCTTACTTTTGTGCCATGGCTATAATTTTGTGTATTTGAAATTAAGTGCTTTGCTTTATTTTGTGGACGTGTTGTCTTGTTGATTTCTGTGTGGCATTTAATGAGTTGTGGGAGAGTTATTCTGGGTGTTGTAAATTTAGGTATTGCGAACTTACATTCCTTTTAAAGAGTAATTTCAAGGAAAATTCTTTGTTGAATTAAGAGTTAATACCCTTATGAGTATAAGTCTCAAGTCTTAAGTTAGAGCCATTGATTTCATGATTTAAGCCAATGATACCAATTTTCATGTCCATATAATCAATCAAGTACACCAAATTCACTGGAGGTAATTACTTGAGAGAAGTCAGAGAACAACAAAAGAAATGCCTGAAATGTCACTCCCATTAATAGGTAATAACTAATAACAATAGTGACTACATTTACAAGTATTACAACTAATAACATAGTACTATTTACCCAAAAGGCCAAAAATAAATAACAGAGTACTAGTTTTGAATCGTTTGTAAAAGACAAAGTGGTTAGATTATGCTTTAAACATTTTAATCCAATCTTCTCAATAGCTCGATTGAATTTTCAAACCATTGCCGGTGACCTTGCATCAATCTCTACAAAGATTTATTCAGCTGGCATACCTTTCCATACCTCCCTAAGCAGCAAACCTTTGACGCTGCTCCATGAAACTTCCTCTACAAGATTTGTGTGAAGAAAAGCATCCTTGAATCTGTTGCTGCAATGTCCAGTCATAGATCATGGGCAACAAGATGATTGACCTGACGTGCTAATTTATCCACAAGAGGAACATGTCAGAAGAATCTAACACCATAAGTTTGAACGTATACTTTGGTCACAATGAAAGACTTTAAGTCAAGCCATCAGGATTACTCTTCACAGCAAATACCCATTTGCATCTGAGAACCTTTTCCTATCAGGTAAGTGCACCATATTCGAAGTGATATTAAAATCCAAATAATTTAGTTCCTCTATCGCAATTGTACCCCATCCAGGACGAGAAAAGTTTTTGTTAACATTTTTAGGCTGAGATGGAGAAGAATCAAGAAAGACGATAAACATGAGTGACACATTATTGTAAGAAACATGGTATGCGTATTCACTTTACGTAGCGGTTGGAAGGTGGCGATCATCAACAAGAAGCGGATCTCATAATTAGGAAGATATTGCAGGACATGACCAGGTTCTGGTTCAGAACAAGGAACAATAATTAGTTCAGGTTGTTCAGAACAAGGTACGAGAGCTAATTTGGGTTGTGGTTCAGGATGTGTAGTGTGAACTCAAGATATTGGTTTAGAATAAGGAACACAAGCTAATTCTGGTCGAGTTGCAGAGTGCTGCACGGTGGGATTTTGCATGTGTAATATTAGGGTGGATGGTGGGGTGTGGTGTTTTATGTTGTATGCTTCGGAACTAATCTTGTACTCCCTCCCTCCCAATTTCATCTTCTCGATTTCACTGGGCATGAAGATTAAGACACGTTGAAAAAGTTGTTGTGAGAGTTAAACCAAAAGATGGAAGGTATTGCACTACTGTTTAAACTTACACGTCACAACTCCAGGTTAGCCTTTTTTTATTGTTACAAGATTCACATCTTTGCATAATACGCGTGTATTGTGCACATTTCACGAATTCTCTAATAGAGGGATGCATTTTGCAATGGTCTTTGACCACAAGGACCATTTTGCAACTTTTGAAAGTTTGAGGACTATTTACTGACGGGTAAATTTCACCCATGGTATACGAACTTTCATCATTATTTCACTTCGGCATATAAACTTTAATTTCTTTCACAAAAGTACACGAACTTTCAACATTCTTTCACCGGTGGTTCAATAGGCGGTTTCTAGGTCACCTTCAGGTCATTTGGGGTCAAATTATAATTTTATAAATTTAAATTTTTTATTTTGACCCACCCTTCCCCTCCTTTTCTCTCTTCCTCTTTCCCAGCCAGCCCCCCACCCCCCACGCACACACCCATTCTTTTCTTCTTCTTCTTCTTTCTTCTTCTTCTTCTTCTTCTTCTTCTTTATTTAATTTAAATTTAAATAAATTAATTTTTTTTCTTATATGAAGAAGAAAAAAAAAAGAAAAAGGGAAAAAGATGACCAAATTCCCTTCCCTTCCCTTCTTTCTCCTCCGCGTCTCTCTAAAAAAAACGTTTGGCATATGATTTTCATTCTCACGCCTTCCTTCTTCCTGTTTAGCTTCACCTTCACTCCATTTTTTCACCTTTTAATTATAATAAAGAAAAAAAGAAAAAAGAAAAAGAAGAAGACAACTACAATGTACATTCATCTAATTTGACCCGCCCTCTCCCCACTTCTCACTCCTTTCTCATGAACCCATTGCGTCGATCTTCTTGATTTCTTGTTTCTCCGGCGGGTCATGGCCGATTCCGGCGTCGAAGCCGTGCTGGGATTCCTGAAGAAGTATGGGCTTGCCCTGTGTGAGTCGGCTCTGATGGAAGACATCCTGGAGAGATCATCCCAATTCGATTCTCTGCTTCCCATGGTTCCGCCGCCGCTCAAGATTCCGGCCACCAGGTGGCCTGACGAGGTTCCCGGTGGTGCTCCTGGAAGTGGTAATCGTAGCACTTGTTCCTCTGATTACCAGTTCATCAGCTTAGGCGGCTTCTGGTAATTATTACTCCGTATTTTTATTACTAATCCCTATTATATTGGACTTCATTCATCATTAGTATAATCATATACGGAGTACTTCTTCTTCTTTTTCTTTTTATTTTTTATTTAATTTATTTAAATTTAAATTAAATAAAGAAGAAGAAGAAGAAAGAAGAAGAAGAAGAAGAAGAAAAGAATGGGTGCGTGCGTGGAGGGTGGGGGGGGGGGCTGGCTAGGAAAGAGGAAGAGAGAAAAGGGGGGAAGGGTGGGGTCAAAATAAAAAATTTAAATTTATAAAATTATAATTTGACCCCAAATGACCTGAAGGTGACCTAGAAACCGCCTATTGGACCACCGGTGAAAGAATGTTGAAAGTTCGTGTACTTTTGTGAAAGAAATTAAAGTTTATATACCGAAGTGAAATAATGATGAAAGTTCGTATACCATGGGTGAAATTTACCCATTTACTGACTTATAAAAAACCACATGGACTATTCATGCATATAACTCAAATTTAAATTTGATCTCATTAGATTAGTGCTTAAAGAGATCTTCTTATCTAGATTAGAGAGACGATCCACATCCAGAGACCAATGTTCGAAAAGGCGTATTGCGGTTTTGAGGCGTTTTCATTTCATGGCGTAAGGCGTAAGCCTTGAGGCGTTTTGAGGCGTAAGCCTCAATTTTAAATTGAAAAACATTCACAAAATAATATAAAACCAAAGATAGAACATAATGTATAACATAAATAATCCAAAAATATGAAAAGAGTATATTGTCAAAGCAATACATCGCAAACATAACAAAGTCTAACATGGAATCAAACATAATTTTGCTCGAATAAACAATACGATACTATGCAATAATTCATCTTAAAAACAAAAAATATAGAACAATTAGCACATCAGTAATCAAAAAAATAAGAAAAAAAGAGGATATTAACAGGTGGAAAGAAGACTGGAAAAACGCAGAGATAAAACGCAGAAGCCGCAGGACAAATGAACAATTACCCAAAACATAAAACGCAGCTCGCCGGAGAAGAAGGCTGCATACCTTTTCGGGGAAAGAAACGCAGACTGCAGACGGGGAAGAAGACTGCATACCTTTTCGCCGGAGAAGAAGGCTGCAGACGGCGATGCTGGACGGCTGGAGACGGTTCGTAGCTCGCCAAAAGTAATCGACAAAGATTAGGAGGGTAATCGACACTAATTTTGGGTAATTTTAGGATATATACTCCAATTGGGTTAATTAATTGGAGTAATTGACAACTTAAACGGTTCAATACCCAAAATTTTAATTGGTTAATTTCCAATTTCGTAAGCCTTATTGCGTAAGCCTTATTGCGCGCACCGGCGCGTAGGCCCCAAGGCGTACGCCTTTCAGAGAATAGCGTAAAAAAGCCTAAAGCGTGAAAACGGGATTAGCCTTGAGGCGTTTTTTCCGGAAAAAGTTCCGAGGCGTGCCTTGAGGCGCGTTTACGTTTCGCCTTTTCGAACAATGCCAGAGACTATAAGAGAGGGTGGATTCCAAAACCAAAATATAGGGTGGAGTGAAGGAGTATACAGGTAATCTTGTCCTTCCAATAAAAAACAATTTCCTTATTTAGAAATGGGATCCTTATTTTGGGATAGCCCAAAAAGGAAATTGTGAACCTAAATCCAAGACTGAGGCAGTAGTCGTGTAGATGAACTGATGAAGAGATCATCATCCTTTTCCTGAATACTATAATCTGAATGTGAAGAGAAATAAACATGTTTATGAAAGGCAACATCTACCGTAACAATATATTGACCAATGCTATGACATAAATGACAATAATACCAAGTAAATTCTTTTTGGACATGAGAATAACCCAAGAACATACACTTATCCAATTTCACATTGTGGGACAAATGTCCCTAGCAAAACAAGAGCAACCAAATATTTTTTGGGGGCTTATATGATAAAGGCCTTTGTGAAAGGAAAGAATGATAAGGAATTTCACCATTCAGTGCTTACAAGTCATCAACTTCATTTTGTTGTGGTGTATCAATGCGTGAGGTTTCACAAAGCATTCCATTGCAACTCATATAAGTTACTAATATACTCCCCCCGTCCCAAAGTTAACATCACACCTCCTTTTTTGGCATATTTAACACACTCAAAAGATTATAGTACCCATACTTTCTCCACTCACTTTTTCAACCCACCCCATACCATCCCCACTCGCTTTGCCTTTTGTGGGGAAATCTCCGATGGTCAATACACTTATATTCTTTGTGTGAAGTCAAACACCAACTTTAATATAGGGACGGAGGGAATATTAGAGTGATATGTCTTAGCTCATAATGTAAAATACAAACATGAACATTGTTGGATTGGGTAATCTTCCTTTGGACGTGCCCCAACTACCTTAATCTAACTTCATGGATCTCATCATCCACAAGCTCTACTCCCGCCTTTCGGATAACGTTGTTCAAAACCTTTTTTCTTGTAGTATGTCCACAAATCCACCTCAAGATACACATCTTAGCATATCTTCTTTAGTAAACAAGAAAAGCAATATGAATATAACATTTAAGAAATGAAAAATAACGTAATCAACGTGTTATTTACATTCATTGATAATATGGTAGGAAAAATGATGAAGTTAAGTTATATGTGAATGGATGCTATATTGGGTGGGTTGACATGTGTGACACACTAGTTGATTTATAATGGAAGATCAAAGATGCTTGGATTTGATGGGTTGAAATTAGATACAGTGACGAAAGGTGTTACGAGAAAGAAGAGATATATGGTTGAGAAGAGAGGAAGTTGGTTTTCCTCAATGGAGAAAAATGATTAATGTTTTGAGAAGAGAGGAAGTATATTTTCCTCCCAGCTTTTGGACGACATGTTTGTTTTTTAAATTTAAAACCCTGAAGTTTGTTGTTGGATGACATTTTTGCCCACTATAACAATTTAAAACAGTTTGAGTCTATGATATGACCTAAGATAGAACATGTGTAGAGCTAAGACTAGAGTACTTGGGTAGTCTTCTGTGTCTTAGTGGTAGTGCTTTGTTGCTCTTGGCTCCATGTGCATTCTGGACCTGGGGTCTAGTGCTAGGGTTGTTTTGTGTACCTTTTGTCTCTATCTGCGTTCTTTGCCTTCAGTTTGCTCTTTACTCCTTGCTACTACTTTGTTCTTATTTTGGTCGTGCCTTTGTGTCTACTTTGTTTATTTTGATTCCGCTAAAGTTGAGGTCTCTTGAAAGTAGTCTCTACTTTCAAGTGGGGCAAAGGTCTGTGTAGATACACCCTCCACAAACTCTACTTTTTGTGGGATTTTGCTGGGTTTGTTGTTGTTGTTGTCGTCGTCGTTGGGTTCTTTGGCCAAAACTTGACTATTTGATAGGTAACATAAAAAGCTCAAATCTATATTTTGATCTCCATATTCCTTCATTCGGCCAACATCTTCCGCTGTACCAATGATTGATTTGACATTTTTCCCACTTTAACAATTCAATTGACATTCTCTTTATTTCCAAAGAGAAAACTTTACTTTCTAAGAAAAACATTATCATATAAATTTATTTTCCAAGAAACCATATGCCCCCTACCAAACACTACCTAAATAAACCATTTCCCCCCAGCTAAACACTACCCAAATAAACCATTCCATGTTAGAATAGACATCAACAAATTTAACAAAATGGTTGAAATCAATTTTAGACGTGATAAGGTTGCATATACCTTGACACCCTCCCCTAGATCTGAACATAGTTGGGACCATACTGGGTTGTTGTTGTCGTGTCATTGGCTCATTGTTGTGTTGTTAAGTTTCTATAGCAACTAGCAAGTTTAGAGTTTGAAGTTGTCATAATAGTAATTAAAAAATCTATAGATTTTTCTTGTTTCAATAGGATGTATGTTCAATATTGCATTATCCATGTAATAAGAAAACTTTGTCTAATGTCTTGTTGTGCACTTATTATGTTTATCGTTTACCTGAGTATCTGGTGTTATTTAAACTTTGGGTTTATGTTTGCTTGAATGGGCTAAAGTTGAATACAGTTGGTTATTGAAAATCCTTGCAGCCTTGTAACCCAGCTGTTGGTGGGCCTGCAAAGTCTCAGCTGGTACATGAAGTTGATGCACTTGGCGGTGAAATTGGAAAGGTGGCGGATAGGTAACTACACGTAGCTAAATAATTATGCCTACATGTTCGCCTGAGTGGGCTAAAGTTGAATTAGATTAGCTATAGTTTGCTAAGATATGGACATGATGTGTCAAGAATGATACGGGAGGAAAACTATAATTATTGATTTATGACTTAACATGCTACAAAGACGAATATATATAGGACCACTGAATAGGTTGAGATCCCCTAACGAAAACATAACTATACTGGGAAAAGAATATCACACCATAAATAACTCTTACCATACATAATACTCCCTTCATCCCACAAAAAGGTTCTATATTTCATTTTCCATCCGTCCCAAAACAAGGTTTCATTTTCCACTTTTGGAAAAATTTTTGTGGCTTCTATCACTTTTGGAGAAATTTTTGTGGCTCCTATTATTTCTCTATCCTCTGCACCACTTTTAACCACACAATTTCACTTTTCTGAAGCTATGTGCCAAGTCAAACGTGGAATGTTTTTGTGGGATGGAGGGAGTACTTAGAATATATGAAAGAATTTATTTTCTTTTTATTTCATTTAATACCGTCTCAAGTTGGGATTTACCAAGTGCTTTATTATGAATGTCAGCCAACTAATGTGTACTCACAAAACAATTCATATTGAACAAAGTGGCAATCTAGTTTATGACTTTATGTTAGTATTAAGAGGATACTTACACCATACAACAAGAATGTGACTATCGGTGCATGTGAGATAATCCGAAAGGTGGGACATTCAGGACACACTGCCTCCGGCTGCGACCCTGTGTTGTTGTCGTGTCTGTTTCACCACTGGTTTTTGGTGGAGAAGGTGAAGACGAGATGACACCTGCTAGCCTTTGTTTTGGTGAGGCGGGTCATCGCGCAGCATTGTCCATATTGGTGGCAGTGAAATGTCCCTCTGAACACAGTCCCCAAAGTTTAGTCGGTAGAGAAGCTTGAAACTTTAGTAGTGTAGTGCACGAGCTAGGAACAGAATTTGACTGTTTATATTTCACCTGTCCATTCTGCCCCCACGTCCCAACGACACATTCAAACTTTCTACCATTGTTACTATGTATGCATTTAACTATGGTGGAACCATACTCAAGACCCATCAAAAGTAGATGGACTTCGTTTTTTTGTAGAAGCCTGATATAAATTGGAAGTGCACTTCCTACAACTACAAGCTGGAATTTTTTCATGATCCCGCAAGTCATACCATAGTAAAAGACTACCAACCAATAGTGGTTCCTCCAACAATCGTCTAAATCTTCTGTGTCTGGGCTTGGTAGAGGAATATAACCGTCCACAAATCCAAACTTTTTTCTTGGCACACAAGGCCATTTGTAAAGATTTTGACCATTCTTCATATTTGCTAGCTTTGTCCCAGTGTATATGTCCAATTTGACTTTTTGCATTTAAATTGGTAAACATTGATCATTAACAACAAACCCCGTAGAGGTTGTAGAAAGATTGTTTCCAAGAGACCCCTAACTCAAACACAAAAGCACAAATGGAGCATACACATTAGCATGAACAAATTAAAAGCACAAATGCAAGAAACACGCATACCAACACTATCAAATACACCAAACACAAGAACTTTGATCATCAACTAAATAAAATTTCACTTTGCAATTTGCATATTAGTACAAAATGATTTCATAAGATTTATGGTGGGATTTTACTGGATTTGTTATTTTAATAGAATTTATCTTGAAAAATAATTTCAAAAAAATTATTACATTGTATTAATATGCAAATTCATCTTGTTTGATAGGAAAAAAAAATCTACACTGGGACGGATGGAGTATCTCCTTTCAAGATGACATGGGTTAGAAGCATACCTTGATTGTCGCTTGAAGAGAGATCCGACTATGTTGATTAAGTATTAAATTGATTACATCATAACAACCATCAAATTCGTTACTATCATCGCGCTTCTTCTGTGACAACGATGTCGTCAACTTCTTGCCGTCAAAATTGTGGGCTGGGTCGTCATCCACCTCCAGCATCTTGGCGGCTGAGGTTTCTTTGCTGCCGTGCATCTTCAGCTACCTACACTGTTGTTGGAGGTGTGGTCTTGGCGATCAGCCGGTAGCGGCGGTAGTAATACAAATAATTTTTAGGCTCGGATACCATGTTAAGAATAATATGACAGAAACTCTATTGATTTATGATTGAGCATGTTACAAAGACGAAGATATATATGAGGTTACTCAACAGGTTGAGAACTCTAAAACAAAACAGAATTATGCAAGGAAAAGAATATCACACAATAATGAGCTTTTACTACATAATGTATACTCAGAATATACGAAAGATTTTATTCCCTCTAACAAGATGGAATCCTCTAAACTTTGGGGGATGTTCTTTTGGAAGCAGGTTTTTTTCGTAACAAGGAAATAAGTTAGGTTTACAAAATTACAAACTAGATGAACTTCAAGAGGCAATAAATATTTCTATAAAGTACTGTAGAAAATAACTACCTAGTCTTGTATCAACTCGGAACATTGAGGTCTACTTAAAATGATTATTCAGCCAACTGAGCTAAGTGTTAAAGCATAGGTCTTAAGGCTGTACCCCTACTCCTCTAGTAAATCTTTTAATAGTCTATCATGTAATGAATGCCTTGATTTTAAGTAAAGATCACAATTTTCTAGCTCCATTTTGTTTCCAAGAACTGATGCTACATTCATATATTTTTGGTTTTTAGATGCTATCTGCAGAAACGCATCCTCAACGTCTCCAGAGGCCCTACTGTTTGGGCATTGCGTGCACAAACTGATAAGAGGGAGTATGCTTTGGAAATGAAAAAGGTTGTAGAAAGGCAAGTTTATTCATATATCTTGTTCAAAAAAATGGATACACATGTGGTTTTCTGTGAGTTATTAAAATCCATATATGTGGAAGGGAAACAGTACAATTTTTAAAAAAAGCAGGTTTGGTTTTATTTTTGGCTACTAATCTTTTTTGTTTTGCTGTATGAACTTAGAAATAATTTTCTATCATGGCCTTTTGTAAGGATACAAAGCTCTTTATTATTATTTTAATGGATTTTGTTTGCATGTGTACCTTTCTTGGCTAGTTGGCTTTGCTCAGAGTAGGATTTCGATGTCTCGCTAACAAATAGTTTTTGATGAAACACCTACACTCATCTCTGCATTTACACACTTAAGTGATATAAACTATATGTTTGTAGTATATGCAGTCGCATATTCATGCCATGCATGCCTTATGGGGTATACCTGGTTTTCATTGTTTTATTCTAACTAGTCATTCTCATTGCAGCACCCCGAACCTCTTTATAAGAGAGGCAATGGTTGTAGATATTTTGCTTGGGAATAATGACAATGTAGAAGGGGTAAGCACATTTTTTGGGATGAACTTCTATGCACCATCTGTGGTTCTAACTACTGGAACATTTATGAGTGGACAAATATGGGTTGGTAGAACTTCAATGCCTGCAGGTAGAGCTGGTGAATCAGCTTCGCAAGGATTGACTGAAAATTTACAACGTCTTGGGTTTGAGACCGACCGACTGAAAACTGGTACCCCTGCACGCGTAGACTGCCGAACAATAGACTTCTCCAAATTAGAGCCTCAACATGGAGATGAAGAGGTCTGTTTACTTATTAAATGTGTAGGCTCTGTTGAAAACACGTGCTGATCATATTGTACATAGTCCCTTATCCCTAGAAAATAAGGTTTTCAAATATTTCATGGTATAACAAGTGTTTTTGTAGATGACTTGTGGCTCACATAGTCACGTGTCTACACTGATTATTTTTAAACAGAAGGTGTCTGTTGTAGATGGACATACTTCCTGTAGTAATGGGATGCTCTATGTTTTGCCGATTTCACAATTTTCACCAAACCATGTTGTGATTTCCTACCTTGATACTCCGTACTTGATACCTGCTGTTTTTTTGGCAACCACTAATTAGCATTCTCGGATTTAGTTTGACACTTTTACATCATAAAAAAGTTGACACACTAGAGATGTAGCTGTTGGAATGCCAGAATATTGTTACATCCCATCTGAATGGGATTCCATATCTCAATATGCATGAGTGAATCTGAAACACATAATCAGATTCAAGTTCACTTTCTTCCCACCAAGTTATTCATGTCCCTGCATATTCTTGGAATGACTCTGACTCCTGGAACTGAATCTAGCTTATATTATATAAGCTAGATTCAGTTTCAAGAGTCAGGGCCATTCCAAGAATATACAGGGACATGAATAGCTTGGTGGGGAGCAAGTGAACTTGAAACTGATTATGTGCTTCAGATTCACTCATGCCAGCTGTTCAATCATGTGCTATATTTTTATTGCAGTTTTGTGCACTATGAATCTAGTAAAATCATCTGGATATTTTAAAAGATGATACAGCTGGCATCATTTAGTCCTCCATTGTCTTATCTGTATGCTATTCATGTTGAAAGTTAGCGTATATACTATTCAGGTCAGCTGGTTCAGTTTTGATCCTGATTTCCACATAGAGAGGGAGCAGATGTGTTGCCATCTTACGCGTACCACAAAGAAAACTCATCAGCTTATCAAGGATAATTTGCATGAAACCCCCACTTATGGAGGATGGGTCAAGGCCAAGGGGCCTCGATACTGCCCTTCCATCGAGGACAAAGTATGCTTCATGTTCTTCTATAATAAGTTTACTTACATCAGATTTGTGTCATCTCGTTTCTATAGTTCACTTTTAATATCCAAGATGAGCTCTCGTAGTGTATGTTATTTGCAAACAATATCATATTGACAGATGAAAGGAAGGGCTAAGGACTAAGTTGGGTTCACCTAGATTTAGGATAAGCCGTAGTAATAGACAGCATCTGGATTGTACTTCTGTTTTTTATTATTATTTGAAAACGAGGGTGCAATTTATGTAAAAATAAAATCTAAAAACCAGGGTGATTGTAAATGCATCGGAGAGAACTTTTAGATAGGGATTGTTTCATGTATGAAGACTGGGAGAGTAGAGTCTTTGAGTTTGGGAGTTCTAAAGAAATGTTTGGATAGACCTAAAATGACTTGTTCTGGAGGTTGAAAGGGGGACATCATGGTGCTGGGGTCTGGGGTGTTATGAGAATGTAATACATGGTACAAAAGAGTGGAAAAACAAGATTTCAGAGGATCACTTTAGGAGTTTTGCTATTGCTTCATGCAATGGACCCAATTGAATTGCATAGAAATGACTAAGACTTTGGGCCTAACATCTAGTGAAAAGTACCACAGTACTACTCATACATATCTCTCCCCCTCCAAATTCCAAATGGACTGTATTATAATCATTCATGTGATGCTACTTAAGGACCTGTTTGGCGAGTTCAAAAGATATGAGTTCTAATCTCTTGATATTAGAACTCTTCTGTGGTTGTCTCGTGAAGCCTAAACAGAGTTAGATTTTATTCGTCTAGATATCACAATCCTCCCAAATGGGGGAGTTTTGATATCTCCCGAATTTGGGAGGTATCAATCAAGGGGTTTGATATCTCTCTCAAGTCTCAATCGCCGACCACCCTCCGTCATCGGCCACCCAGCGTGTCACTAACAACCGTTATTTCAGATCTCTCCATATCCTTTCATTTTGGATTTCAAAACTCATATGTATTTCTTCCAAATTTCAGATTTCATATCATATCAATCCTCCAAAACTCATCAAACGGCCCCTAAAATGATTAGACAACAAAAGTACTTGGATTATAGGTACTATACCTTTGAATACAGAACCATGTTTAGGCCTACCAAGGAATTCGATATAGACCTGGTTCTCACACAGACCCATCTTATATTTTGAATATGTGACTCAGATTAAATTATATTTACCCTATCTATAAATAGACCTGTTTTGAATATTATAAAATGGACCTGGATCAGGAATACTCATTTTAGACTTGAGCAGACTCGAATCCGATGGAAATAAATAATCGGTGTAAAAATGATCCCTCCTGTCCCAATTTCTTCTGGGTGTTTGACTTTTCTTGGTGAAAATTGATGGTCTTTGACTAAATTTGGAAGATAAAGTACATTTAATATTATTAGATTCATTTTGAAATATCACATTTTTATTATATATGTGTGTGTGTGTGTGTATAGGGGTGCGGTTGAGGTGAGAATGATCCTTATTAAAATGCGAATGGTGCATTTTTGGGCTGTCGTGATGCATTTTACACGTGTAGTACATTTTTGGCACATGCAGAAAAGATTGATTTATTTACAAAATTGCCACTGTGTTTTTTTTTTTCATTTTTTCAGTTTTGAATTTTAATTTCCCTTAGATCTTAAATCTAAGATATCATATGCATTCTCATTTCTTTTGTCTTTTACTGTGCATTATTCTAATTTGAACCAAAGTCTATGTGTGTGTGTGTGTTTAGTTATTAGTTGTCGATGTGTTGCAGGGAAAAATAACTTTGGACGGAGAGAATAAAATAAACTATCCATTTGGAAAAAACTTCATAGTTTGACTTCACAGAGTTTAAAAAAAGAGTTGAAGAGTGTGTATATAATTTGTTTAGAAAAAAGAGAAATAGTGTGAGCCACACATTCATTTCCTTTAAACTCTAAAGTAAATATTGAAAGTGTGAAGTTTATTTTAGGATGAAGGGAGTGTATAATAATTTACACCTGCTAGTGTCAAATTTGAAAGTTGAGCTTGAAATAGGTATGCTGGAGTAACTATGGATTTGAGGATTGTGTTTGACCTTTTAACGTTTATATGTACTTTTGCCCCATATTTTTCTTCTTGTATGACCTTGGCACTCTTTTAAATAAAGTAGAAATTGTGGACGATATTTTTGGGACATCCTGTAATAGAAAACATTAGGAAAATAATGGGATGAAGGGAGTACTGGAGTAGTGTTGTAGGTTTCTTTCAGAAATTAATACTTTGATGATTTACTGTTTTGCTTGTAATTATTTGAGATTTTTTAATTAGAATGGTAATTATGTTACTCTGATAAGTTGCAACATTTTATCTAATCATGTTGTAGGTCAATCCAACCCAAATATGAACTTGGATCTAAACATTAAATGAAAAATCTTTGTAATTTTTGGATCCAGATTCTGACATGTACATGTAGATCTGGTTAAGTGTAAGGTAGATCTGGCAGGTCTCGGGTACAGTTATCAGTCTATTTTCGAACAGGTAAGGTCTGGAATCGTTCTTTCTGTTCCAAACTCGACCCAATGCCTGCCTAGCCATAGTAACCCTTTTCTCTCACTCTCATGGGGAGAGGAGAGTGGTTTGTTTGCATGATTATTAAACACGCAGTTTCTGTTTTACTTGGGATTGGCTTTTTTATTTTTATTTTACTCTGCAATGTTTTCCTCATTTAGGTTGGTATCTTGTTTCCATTTCATATATTGGGGTATTTTGCTCTCCAGCTGATACAGTTTACTTTCATTTTCTAGATTGTAAGATTTCAAGATAAAGAATCCCATCAGATATTCCTTGAGCCAGAGGGAAGGAGTATCCCTGAGGTCTATGTGCAGGTTTATGACTATTCTATTTGGTTCTATCCACCTTTTCTATTTGTAGGAAGATAGAACACTCAAACTTTCTTTGAATATGCTTTTGACACTACACATACACCCATCAATGCTTAATATCAGGATTGACGTTTTACATTGCATATTGTGAAATAATTCAGCATATTCTGCTTGGTTTAGCTCTGTATTACATGCATCATTGTGGAGCTACACTAGTCTAGTTGGATTACAATCATTATACTTATGTTGCATGAATTCAAAAGACAGGAGTCAGCCGGTCTGCTGGTTTGAAGATAAATCTGTTCTGCTATATTACTTGTATAACAAGGGAAAATCACTGTTTTGGTCCATCCTTCAACTATTTCTGATTCAGCAATGCAGTCCCTCATTGTCAATTTGAAGCAATCTAGTCCATCACTATAGTCAGTAAACTTAGGTGGCTATTGCATTTGTTTTCTAAATGCTTCAGCTTGACACTATGACCAATTTCTGTGTTTAATGTATAGGGATTTTCTACAGGTTTACCTGAAAGACTGCAGTTGCCACTATTACGAACACTACCTGGACTTGAGAACTGTACAATGCTGCGGCCTGCTTATGCCGTAGAATATGACTACTTGCCTGCTTATCAGTGTTTCAGGTCTCTAATGACCAAAAAAATACAAGGACTGTTTTTCTCTGGCCAAATAAATGGGACAACTGGTTATGAAGAAGCTGCTGCACAGGTTTGTAGATACATAGGTATCATTGTTACCTATGATAATATTTAACCTGAATTTCATCTCACTCTAAAATTTAAATGGTTACAATAAGAATATTCTGGAAGGCTGTTACAATTTTTTGCCAATTGGATTCTATTGTACCTCATCATGCTTTTCTTTCTGACAGGGAATTATTTCCGGGATTAATGCTGCTAGACATTCAGATGGAAAATCCCTTATTGTTCTAGAGAGGGAAAGCAGTTACATAGGGACATTGATTGATGATCTGGTCACTAAAGATCTCCGAGAGCCTTACCGCATGTTGACAAGGTAAGACATAGCCACTGGTATGTTGTATTAGCATTACTGGTCTATTGAAAAATATGAATTGAAACATTATTTTTTGAGTTGGAGACGTGATTGACAGTGAGTTACACATAGCATGTTGAAGTCTCTTGCTTCAAATTAAAGTTATAATTTGAGGGAGTAGTGAGGGAGCACTGAAAAAGATGGGGATGGCTAATGCAGTCAGATCAAATCTCCATTGAGGCATGGTGGTGCTTGGGGGAGGTAGGAGTGTAGTGGCTAACCAGCTCTAGTGTCATTTTCAAAACTGCTAAGATGTTTGAGTGAATTCTCGGTGTGGTGGTGCCGCTCTATAAGAACAAAGGTGACAAAAGGAGTTGCAATAACCACTGCAACAGTAGGCTACTATTAGATACTGAGACTATGAGAGAGCGTGATTGAGTGGTGGTGCCTCTTTGAGGTGACTGAGAACCATTTGTTTCGTGCTAGGAAAGGCTATAATTATGGCAATCCACCACCCTCTCCAGTACCTCATGGAGAATTAAAGAGAGCATAGTGAGACCTGCATATGATATGTATAATGTATAGAACTTGTGAAGGCTTAAGAGAATGTGACGTGTGATTAAATTTGAAGTTTGGAGTTAAGAGTGCATTGGTTGGACGTTAGGGCATTAAGCTATGTATGCACTAGAATCCCACATTGGACAAATATTTTCTTAGTGAAAGTCGGGTTACCCTAAGGGTCTGCTTGGTTTGATGGGAGGGAATGGAAGGGAATAAAAAAAATGATTCTGTTTTTGGTGTACAGGAAGGAAAGGGAGAGAATGACTAGTTTACTATTATATCTTTATATATTACTATATTAGCCCTTTTAAAAAAAGTATTATACCTTACAAGGGGCATTCATACGAATATAGTAAAATTGTTGAGATAAATAAGTCATACCCCGTATGTTTTAGCTTCCATTGTAAAAACCCCAATTTGGAGGGAATTAATATAAAGGGAGGGAAGGGAATGGAAGGGCCAATTTTGAGTCCCCTTCCCTCCAAAACTCCTATCCCCTTCATCAAACCAAATAGACCCTAACAATTAACATTTTGAGCTGATTCCTCTTTGATGTGATTTCGGATTTTATATTTCCCAAGGGTTTTTCCATCATCTCCGATGGAGCCAAAATTTCACCATTTTTTGGCTTTGGGGTGTGATGGAATAAATCAAAATGGATCTGTAAACTGTCTGCGCTTCTTTAATTAATGAAGTAGCAGTTAGTCAAGCAATGCAACTTTCAACGTTGAGCCGGGGGTCTCTTTGGAAACAGTCTCTCTACTTTCGAGTAGGGGTAAGGTCTGCGTACACACACCCTCCCCAGACCCTACTCTTGTGGGATTTAACTGGGTTGTTGTTGTTATTTCCCAAGGGTTCCAATAGTGCATGTGCATGCTACCGGTAGAGAGATGAGGGATCACATGAACATGAAGTTTGAGAAATAGAGAGCGAATTTTGAAGCACATGGCTTGCACATTAGCAGCCCTAAGGCTCAATACCTTTAAGACAAGTTTAGCATGAAACACAATGAGGACAAGGTAGTTGTCAACATTGGGGAGCAGAGAATGCTATGGAGGTAGATTCCAAGTATTTGCCTCATATCATAAAAAGAAGAAATCCTGGACAACAGGGCCGGCTCAAAGGGTGGGCAGGGTGGCAACCTGGCCAAGGCCCATTTTTGTAGGGAGGCCCAATTGTGTGTGTGTCTATATAAATATATATACTGTATACATATACATACATACATATATATATATATATATACATATATATATATATATATATATATATACACACACACATACATACAAACAAACAACCCTGATTTATATAAAAAAACAGCCCTAAATCTAACTATTGCAAACCTCTAAGCTCAGACTAAAAATTTAATTATCGCAAAAAAAAATGAGGGTTAGCTATTAAGGTATGTAATTATAAATTTATAAGACTATGAATTTAAAATTTTCTTACTCATATTAGTATAATGTTAATTATTGTTAAAAAAATTAATTGATAGACTTTACTTTATTATCACATACTGGCCCATTTTCTCCATGTCGGCCAGGGCCCCTGATTCCTCGGGGACGGTTCTGGAGTCTGAACGATGTCATACATGATATTAAGGTAGAGTGATTAATGTGAAAGGCTGGCACATTAGTGCTTTGTGACAACGAAGTCTCATTGAATTTGAATTGCTTATTCTGCAAGTGACCATGCAACTGGCTCTGATATGTGAGTATGTCTGCTGGGCGACAAGAAAAGACAAGTTAACAGAAGTTGGAAGTTGCGGCAATGAGTTGGCTGTGGTGTGCTAGTGGTTATACCAGTGGGACAATATACTGATTTTGGTTTATGAGATGGAGTTTGGAGATGCACCTATTAGTAATAAAGAATGGGCATACTGTGGTGGTTTGGTCATATTTGCCGCAGAGATGCATTGAAACTAGTGAGGAGGGCAGTTAGCTTTTGGATAATGGGACATGGAAGAGTATAGGTCACAGAGGACGTGGGGTGAAGAGTTGAAGTTGACATGACCATGACGGCATGACCTCTAATTGGATTTTCTGGATACATCGTATTGGGGTTATGGAGTTGTGGGGGCTGAATGCTAGTGTTGTATGCGCCTGGCAGTAGGGCCCTCATAGCTCTTTATTGTTTTCGTGTTACTGCATAGATGTTGCCTTCTTATGTAGATTCATGTAGCCTCAAGAACATTTGAGCAAACCTTTGACTAGTTACAGAGATGAAATTATTTTTTTCTGACATTTTTCTATTGTTAAACTTTCTTCAGTCGCTCAGAACATCGTTTGCTTCTTCGCTCCGATAATGCTGATAGCAGACTGACCCCTGTTGGGCGTGAAATTGGGTTGATAAATGATAGACGATGGGCGATTTATGAGCACAAGCAAACTCAAATATTAGAAGAGAAGAAGAGATTGAAGACAGTCCGAGTTTCAGGTCCTCGTGCCATTTTTTTCCCCTTTTCACGTTTATTGTACCCATGAATTCCTTGAACCACCATTCTTGTCAATGCTTTTGTTGTACTATCCATATTATACACCCACCGCCTGACAATGAAGTTTACAATTTTTTTATGTTCTAAAGTAAACCTTACACTTTGCATATTTCCTTTTTAAGAAATGAATAAAACGTGGTCTATAACATTTCTCTCTTCCAAGCTAATTCCAATCAAACTTGTTCCTTTTCACCAATTTCGTAAACTCTGTGTAGTCAAAAAATAAACTTCATGAAAGGAGGTGATTAGTATTATTATTATTATTATTATTATTATTATTATTATTATTATTCTCAATTTCTCATTATGTTGATGATGATGAGTAAGATAGGTTTTCCGAAGTAACAAAGCAAATGAGACTTGTTTAACAGAAAATGAACCTAGCTCTTACATGAAGCATCTTCAGGTGGAGATTTGGCTGCTGAAGTTGAAGTTATTGCGGGTCAGTCGGTTAAGAATTCGTCAACATTGGAGAGCCTCCTTAAGAAACCACACGTGCAGTATAAAGTCTTTGATAAGCATGGGTATGGAAATCAAAGCCTATCCAGAGCCGAGAAACTCTGCGTAGAGATTGACATCAAATATGAAGGCTTCATTGCTCGCCAGCATCTCCAACTTCAACAGGTTACAAGCTAACTACCCCTCTTGCCTTTCTAATTCGTATGCGCTTAAAAAAAAGTTCTTAATCTAACGCGGTGTGTGTTCCTTTGGTGGTTGTTTGACCCTTTTTCTGCTTCTAGATGGTTCACCAACAGCATAAACAGATCCCTGAGAACATCGATTATCATGCTATGACCACTTTATCACTTGAAGCACGCGAGAAACTCTCAAAGGTATACATTTGATGCTCTTTCTATACATTCCGTTCAAGTAAAACCTAAAGCGTAAGTTCCAAAGTCATTGGCATTCGGTGTGTTTTTTCGTGTATATAGGTCAGGCCCCAAACGATTGGGCAGGCGAGTAGGGTAGGTGGAGTGAATCCTGCTGACATTACAGCACTTCTTATCATTCTTGAAACTAAGAAAAGGAAAGCCAGGGAACAGGCGAGGAAACAAGGGGCTCCTTCTCCTGTTTGCATCAGTGATGCAGGTGGCGAAGTCTCCGACAACCCTCTTGAAGAAGCCGTGCGCACATGAGATCCACTAACAGGCAATGCTAGTTCATCCATCTGTCCCATAGCGTTGTTTCACAGTAGTAGAACTTTTAAATTTGAGTTGTGTACAATTAGTAGAAATTATCAAGGCAAGTTACATTTCATTTTTTTCAATGCACACACATTCATTAATAAAAATATATCTTTGGAATCAATGAGTACTATTCTTCTTAAAGTCACAGATTCCAAGGAAACACAAGCTTCTTCGCGTTACCATGCCCGACAAAGAGGAGCTTGTTTCTGCTGTGTTTCCTTGCCGAGTTTTCCGACCAGCCCAGCACCGTGATTTTGTTTGTGTTCCGTTTGCCTGATCTAATCTGATTTTTTGAAGATCTTGTTTGATCTGATTGTAGTTATATTTAAAGTTGTTATTTTATCTGAATTTGACATGATTTTAATAAGAATAAGCAATAAGTTTAACAAATGGACCCTTTGTTTTTTTGGCCAAGAAGAGATTGCAGACAACGAGAAAATCGACACTGGTTCTTTCCACCGTCTGGAAGGCGCTCGACTTTGGTTTGACCAGATGATGGAGGAAGAAGAAACTGTAGGTTGGAATGGTTTCAAGGAGCTATGGGTTGAGCGTTTCAGACCATCTTTGAACATGGGATTTCAATAGGCACAATGGTTAAAATTTGCATTAAAAATCACAAGTCTTAGATCGATCCATCATTATGAGTGGATTATAATTGGCCAAACCACATAGATTGGGACATGCCATGAACTTGGTAAAATTGAAACACAAGTACGTCACACAGAATATGGTTTAAAACATATTTTTAGCTTTCTGATCTTTTTTTTGGTTTTAGGACTGGTCTTGCTTTGTAAGAACCCCAACCCGCAACCGCCAAGACCGATAACCCCATTGTGGATTGATGAGGACTTTGATACAATTGTGACGATCGAGCCATGGATTAATAAGACACAAATGCAAGAGGTTGCTATTCATTGACCTCCAAAATGACAATTAGGGAGGATTAGACACGATACGGAACGGGGTTCTGTTATTGAAATCATCGGTTCCCAATTCCTAGGAGCACCTCCAACGGATCAGCTAAAATTCAGTAAAGTGTAAAATTTGCAAGATATAGCATTTACTGTACATAAAAACGAGCTCCAACCGGTAAGCCATAAAATAAAGTGATTGCTATTTGTTCCGTTTCGTCTTCTATATTTGAAAGCCGACCTTGCATCTGCTATCCATCTATTTCTTTTTTGATTTCCGATTCTGCACCTTTTGCTTCTTTGATTTCCGATTCTACTGCTTCTTCTTGTTCGAGCTTGTTGATTTTTCTTTTGAAATACCTAGGGCTTGTTGTTTCTTGTTTCCTTCGATTTTAGATCTAGCACTTATGCTTCTTCATCTTGCTCGAATTTCTTCAAATAGCTAGGGCTTTCTATTCGTTGCTCTCACCATATCTGATTTCCAGTTGCTGATTTTTTTTTTTAAAAAATTGAGATTTATTGGTGGTTGATAGTGAATATAGATGATATGGTTGGAGTGGATGGTAAAAAATAAGCTGTAAAAACACTGTAGAAAAGCTAAAGAGGCAAATAGAAGATAAAAAAATAGAGGATGGGTTGGAGATGCTCTAGTAAGGCGTAGTCAATATCGGTATCCTTAGGACGGGCTCTTGGTGGTTTGGGTTCTCGATTGGTTCCTCTTCTTTTTTTCTTTTGGGGAAAAATATATATATAGATTTTACTACATATTACGGAGTTTTTTTATGTTTGTGGATATTACGAATCAACCTATATTAATTGAGAATAAGCCTAAAAAGTAAAAAACAAAGAAAACAAATAATAATAATTTATTGTTAGTAGTATAAGCCTAAAAAACAAAGAAATATAATAATAATTTATTATAAGTAGTATTACAACTACAATTATTATTATTAACATTATTGTTATTTTTATTACTCCCTCCGTATGAAAATATTCTTCATATGTGACTTTTTACGGTCTTCAAGATTGCACTTTGACCATTAATATCTTTATTTATACGTAGATATTTTTTTATAAAAATTTGATATTTGAAAACAACCTAGCCTTTCAATAGAAATATATTGAAATTAAAGCATAATACAATATATTTTTTCCACGTATGAGAGTCACAGTTTACAAACTTTGATCAAGAAAAGTCAAATTGAAAAAACATTTTCGGACGGAGGAAATATGAATTGTTTTACTGTTATTATTGTTGTTATCATCTTCATCATCATCTCGCTATTTGATTAAAGATTTGCTCAAATAATCAATGAATAAATAGTGACTTCAATTCTTAAGTAAGAAAAAAGATAAATTGCGAATGGAGATCGCCAAGGTTGCCTTTTTTTTGTTGAATGAGCGCTTGCCAAACGAAAAAACGTTACAGATTTGGACGGTAAATATTTGGTACTCATGTATGAAATGAGGATTATATTATTCGTAAATGTACAGGTTTTATAATTATATTTAATGTTACGTATTTCTCAAATGAGCATGCATGCATTTTATAATCTGCCAGTTTTGAATAAATTTCAAAATGAAATTATAAAAATGAGTACCGTATACCACACAAATAAACATTATATTTGAGGAATGTAAAATATAGGCACTCAACTTCATGCAAACTGTTTGACCCATCTACTTTTTTTTTTGAAAGGTATTTTTTTAACACTTGGTAATTTAGGGTGATTGTAGTAGTAACTCAAAATAGCAACTTTTTGAACCAAATGCACAATATATTTCATCACCAAACACAATCCAAGTACATATCATCAAATATCAAACAAACCATCGAATTACTCCAGATGTTGCACTTTCCCCCTCCCCCAATACACTGTAATGTACTCCTTAAGCCTCCCAAATAAATTATACATTTTGCCCTCTTCCTTCCTCCCAACGCCATGATGCGCTCCTTAACTTCTTCCACTATTTCACATGCAAATACAAAGTCCTGCCATTCTGATGCCCTCCCAAGTATTGATCTAGTTATGGGGCAGGTACAAAATAAGTGGTTACTGTCCTCCTCTGCATCTTTACATAACACACATGTCTTATCAATGTCCAAGTATCTCCCAATCCTCTCCTTTTTGTTTATCCTACCTTTACATAGTAGCCAAGCTAAGAACTTGTGTTTTGGACATGTCAATCTGTTCCAAACAAAGGATATCCACCCTGGCTTTTGCCTCATCCCCAACAACCATTTATAGCCCTCTCCCATAGTATATTCTGTTGTGTTAGGCATCAATTCAAACCATTTCCTATTTTGGAGGATCTTTTTCCAGTAGTAGCTGCAGTCAGCTGGGAATGGAAAACTAGAATATGAGCTGAAGTATATCCAAGCAGATGAGCTAAATGGTCAGTATATTGCAAAATTTACAAATGATGATGTGATTGAAGATCTGGGAATATGGGATCAGGCGATTGTGCTTTGTGTCTTAGGGGCCAACCCACCAGTGGAGGTAATTGATGGATTTGTTCGCAGAATCTGGAAGGATTATAGCATTGAAGAGGTGTCATTCTTGAGGGAAGGTCAGTATATAGTGAATTTTTAGAAGATGGAGGAAAGGGAAGAAGTGCTGAAACCTAGGTTCTACTATTTTGATAATAAACTTGGGATTCAGGTGGATGTGACTGAGTTAAAGGATATCCCAATATGAATACAATTTTCAAACCTAAACATGAAATATTGGAGTTAAACAGGGCTGAGCAAGCTAGGTAGTGTGATTGGAAAATCTGTGAAATGGGACAGAGCCACAGCTTCAAGAAATAAATGGGAATTTCCCAGGATTCAGGTGGAGGTGCAGGTACACCAGGAGTTCCCTGAAATGTTTCATTTCTCAGATGAAGAAAGAAGAATCTTATCACAGGTGGTAACATATGAATGGAAACCATCCATATGCGCAAAGTGTAGTAGAATGTAGGGGAGAGCATGGGTTTGGTTCGGTGCCCAAAACCGAAATAACTGAAAGTACTCATAATAACCGACCGAACCGAACCGAACCGAATTAAAGCTAGAATCGAACAAACCGAACCGAGAAAAACCGATCGGGTTCGGTCGATTTGAAAAAACCAAACTTTACATTTTAAAAACTACTGCCTACTGCATATATTGAAGCCGGAACGGAGATGGTGAGGACCGTGAGGTGACTGGCGTCGATTTGGGAACGCTGGAACGGAGAATCGGAGAATCAGAGACTTGCCGTCGTTGTAGTCTTGCCTTGTTGTCACTTGGGAGATGGAAATTCGAGACTGGTCAGATTGTCGATTGGGAACTGGGAAGGACTACGGGAGGAGTAAAGACTAAAGACATGGGAATTGGAGATTAGGAATTGGGATTGGGTATTGGAATTGGGTGGGCTATAACTTAAAAGATTTGGTGGGCTTAAATTAAAAGATTTGGTCTGGGTTTACATATATTTGATATATATATTATGGGTTCGGTTATTCGGTCGGGTTCGGTTAACATTGCCCAGAACCGAAAACCGAAACCGATAACCGAATTAACCGATTATTTAAGTCATCAAAACCGAAAACCGAAACTGAATTTAAAATTGCGATCGGTTTGGTTAAATTTTATCGGTTAATCGGTCGGTTCGGTTAAATTGCTCACCCCTAGTAGAATGGGACATGTTAGTGAGGTATGCAGGAAAAAACAAGAAACCAAATCAGAGAGACCTACTCTTAAAGAGGTCTGGTGGCCAAAACAAAAACAAGAGTATGATAAAAGTCAGCAAGAAGCTGACAAAGAGGTGAACAATGAAGAGATAGAGGAGATTAATTGTAACACCCTAATCCGTCCAGGTCTGCAGCCCCATTCGGACTAAAGTATTTAACTTGGTAATAGTAAAAATTTAAAACTTTTCAAACACACTTTATTAATCTCAATAATATTTTTCATAACATATACAGTACAAAGTATTCAACAATATTGCAGAAGCGAATTTAATATTGACATATCATAAATCATTTCAAACTTGTCACATCCATCCCGACAATCTCACCCCATCTGCCACCAGGATCACATTGTTCTTTCTGTTTACCTGCGTGTAGCAAATAAAACACACTACACGCTCAGCGGTAAAGCTGAGTAAGCATATCTAAAGCGTCGAACATCCAAATAAATTGAATCCCAATTCATAATTAACCATTTGATATCATGCACATAATGTTCAATTTAGATAT